AGTTGGGCATTCCTACTTCCGTAGTGATACTGCCTCAGAAACCCAAGGAGGGGTCGCTGTGAGTCAGGGCCAACTCGATGGCAAATAACAACAACAACAACAACACAGGTACTATGTAACAAGTTGTTGTTAGGTACCGTTGAGTCAATTTTCGACTCATAGTGACCCCATGTGACAGGGTAGAACTGCCCCATAGGGTGTTCTAGGGTGTAATCTTTACAGAAGCATATTGTCAGTCTTTCTCCCATGGAGCTGCTAGATGGGACAAAACTGCCAATCTTTTGGTTTTCAGCCTAGTGCTTAACTGTTGAACCACCAGAGCTCCTTCGAGCTTGAAAAATAGATCTACTGAGAAGAATGGATTTTTTTGGGGGGGATGGGATAAAATTTCACTTAATTAGGGGGCAAAGTTAGTGTTCCCTATTATCAGATCAACTGCAAATGATCATCTGTAAAAACCACTGTTGGCTCACAGGCCATACAGAAATATGGTGGTGAGCTGGGCTGGGCCTGCAGGCCATCATGTAGAGTCCCTGGCTTTGAGAATCAGCCTCAGCTCTTGAACCTGGCCTCAGAGTTTGGTTCCCAGCCACTCTTCACACACTCCAGCTAGCTTAACATGCCGTCTGTTCTTAAATGTGCTTTGTTCTCTTACCCTGACCCTTTCCAAAGTGTTGCTCCTTCTCCCAGCCCACGTTCCTACTTGGAAATTTTCAGCTTCTCCTACTCTATACTCTTTTCTGGGACTACTTATCTGGACACCTTCCCTAAACTCCCTTCTCCCCATAGATCCCCATAGGGACCTGTAGCATAGAGTTTACCAAACAATATACTTACAGGTTTGCAGACTATAAATCCTCATTAGCCTGGAACCTTCTTAGGAACTGCTTCATTCCTATTTATATTCATTGTACATGCTCAAAAAAATGCGGGGGGGGGGTGCATTGAGGTTCCAGTGAACCCAGTCCCAGGTCTTCTGATTATGGGGCTGTGTTCCCAGCGCTACCTTTGCTCAGGGTAACCTGGCTACCTTGGAAGCACCATGTTCTTTCTTATGTATTATCATCCCCCAGCCTCAGCTGACTGCTCCAGAGATGGGCATCTGATTCAAGCCAGGTCAGTCAGTTTTTTTAAACTTTGACTAACATCCATCTCTCATCAAAGGCACAGAAGGTAGGACATAAAACTCAGGGGAGTGCTGACAGTCATGATCCCCATTGTGAGGGAAGACATTTCTATAAGAGAGAAGGAAGATCATGTGCAGAGAGAAGCTGGGAGGAGTCCTGGGCAGAGTGCTCATGGCTCTAGAGTCTGGCTGCTGACATTTCTCTGAAGGCTCTCCTGCATCCCTGCCTGCTAATCATCTGCTTGGACAGCCCTTCCTAAGATGCCATAGAACATTAAATATCCCCTTATGCCTGAACTTGGAGCTCTGGTGGCATAGTGCCTAAAGCATTTCACTGCTAACAAGAGGTTGGCAGTTCAAACCCATGAGCCAATCCATGGAAGGAAGACTGGGCAATCTACTTCTGTAAAGATTTACTGCCTCAGAAACCCAAAGGGGGTCATTATGAGTCGGAATCGACTTGATGGCAGTGAGTTTGTTTTTTTTTTTTGGTGGGGGGAGCGGTGAGGGAGGAGTTATGCCTGAACTAGTTTGAGCATAGTTGTCAGTTACAATCCAAAGAGACCTACTATACTAATCTTAATATTCTTCCCATTTTGCTACTGGTTTCTAAGCTTTTTTTTTCTTTTTTTTTTTTAAGCAAACAAAATCTTATTCAGAAACCCACGATGTGAAATAGAAGAAAGTGTAGACTGTAGAATACAGAGTGCTTGGTGCTAGGTCCCTACTCCCACAATATCCAGCTTTGTAACCAAGGCTCAGTGAGATACCCTTTCAGCCTCAGTTTCCCTCTTTGAAGGTATGGAAAGTAGAGGTACCCAACAAACTCTTAGGGTTGTTGTAGGGCTTTAATAAGTTAATATATGTAAATCACTTAACACAGTGTCAGGGCTCAACAATCACTTAATAAGCACTAGGCATTATTATACAGAGTTGTTCTGGTGGTGCAGTGGTTAAAGCATTCTGCTGCTAACCAAAGGGTCAGCAGTTCAGATCCACCAGCTGCTCTGTAGGAGAATGATGAGGTAGTCTGCTTCTGTAAAGATTTACCGTCTTGGAAACCCTATGGGGCAGTGGGGCAGTTGTACTCTGTCTTGCAGGGTCACTATAGTGTTGCAATGAGTTAGAATCTATTTGATGGCAATAGATTTTTTTTTTTTCCAGTAATTATAACACGGAAGTGGAGGATGGACTCAAGAGCAACTGCCTCCTTAGCTTCCCTTACATCTTCCCTCACCGTGATGTCTTTGGCACATGTGCAATGTTTAAATTATCTGAAATGACTAGTTTAATATATGTCCTCTTGGCTAGACTGGAAGCTCTCAAAGACAAGGAGCATATTTATCTTGGTCATTATTTTCTTCTCAGGACTGTTAAGCACAGTAATGGCCCTTCGAAGGTGTCCAATAAATATTTGTTGACCAACTGATGATAGAATAGGCACCACACAAGTCACCAAATCTGGTGCTTATCACAGCAGAATCAGAAAGAATTAAGAAGAGGTAAAGACTGGACTTACAGGACAGCCCACTCAGAACTAAAGTTAATGCTTTTAGTTTGGTCAGTGAGGTTACTTAGAAGCTTCCTGTTTTTCCATTTTTAAACTAATTACTGCAATGAAAATATAACATATGAGAATTTGTGAGATATATTAAAGCAATAATAAGAGGAAAATTCATGGTTTTTAATACTTCTATCAATAAAGATGAAATGGGAGAATCAACGAATTAAACTTCTAACTCAAAAAGACAGGAGAAAAAAAAACTACAATGAAATAAAACATGAAGAAATAATGAAGATTAAAACAGCAATTAATGAAGTAGAGAACAGAAAGCAAATATAGTGAGTCAAAACCTCATTCTTGAAAAAAAAAAAAAAAACAGAACAAGCAAAGCACTAACTAAAATCAATCAAAATAAGAGGGGGAGTGGGGCTGAAAGCATAAGTATAAAACTAAGACATTACAAGGGGGAAATAATCATTAAAAAGTAGAATTTATCTCTATGTAAATAAATCTGAAAATGTAAATGAAATGGATAATTACCTAGAAAAATACAGTTTACCAAAAATAACCCAATTTTGAAGGCATCAACAGACCAATTGTTTATAGAGAAAACTGTCAAAAAATTTCACCACTAAAGGAAAACAAAAACCAAAAAAACCACCAGGTCTAAATGGTTACGTAGGTGGTACAAACTTTCAAATGCTACATAAATTACTCCAGTGCACAGAAAATAAAAGAAAACTACCAAATTGTTTTTGTGAAGCATGTACAACATGGATACTTAAACAATAATCACTTACAAATATTGGAGTAAAAATCCTTAATAGAAATATTAGCAAACACATCCATGATCACATAAAAACAAAACAAACAAACAAACAAAAACATGACCAAGGGAGATATATTCCAGGAATGCAAGGTTAGTTCAATATTATAATTAAATACACTATATCAACTAATCTAACAAGAATCATACAAATGTCTTCAGAGATACTGAAAAGCTCTGATTAAATTCAATACTCATTTCTAATAAAAAACAAAACGATGAAAATACAAATTGATGGCTATTTCCTTAACATTATAAAAACATAAAAGCTTTAAACCTAAAGCCAGCATCTTACCAAATAAGGAATCATTAGGAGGATTTCTACTAAGCTCAGGAGCAATGCATGGATGCCCATATTATCCATTACTACTTATCACTGTACTAGAGGTATAGTCAATGTAATTAAGCAAGATAAATCATTTAGAGGCAGAAGGACTGAAAAGAAGTAAAACTATAACTATTTGTAGATGACGTAATAGTATACCTGGGAAAAATCACTGCTGACATTAATAGAAGCAATCAAAGAATTAAGCAAGCTAGAAGGATAAAAAATTAAGAGAGAAATCAATGGTCTTCATGTACACAAAAATAACCAGATAAAAGATGTAGCTTCACTTACAACAGTAATAAAGAAGGTAAAGTACTTAGAAACAAACTTACTAAGAAATGTGCAAAAGGTAGTGAAGAAAACTTTAAAATACACCTGAAAGATACAAAGTAGACAGTGATAAAAGGAAAGACATTCCTTGTACTTGGTTAGAATGACTCAAAATCATCAAAGTGACAGTTCTTTTGAAGTTCATTTATAAAAAACACAACCCCAATAAAAATACTGGCAAAATTTTTATGGAGCCAGACAGGTTGATCCTAAAATTCACATGGAAAAGTGAACAAACATGGCAAGAACATCTAGAAAGCCTGATGTTCTAGGAGGAAAAAGAACTATAAGGAGTGCTTAGTACTACTAGCTATTAAATCATACCATAATAGCTCTATAATTACATCAGTAAGAAACTGGTACATGTATAAACAGAGAGATCAGTGGACTATAACTGAAATCCAGAAATACACTCAAGTATACATGAAAATTTATATTCTATAGACGTGTTATCTTAAACCACTGGAGCAAAGATGAACTTTTTAGTAAAATAGTGCAGGACAACTGGGAAACTATTGGAAACAAAGATAACATTAGATCTATACTTCACACCATACACAAAAATAAACTCCAATTAATAATAGTAATAAAAATAAGTAAGTACTAAAAGAAAACACAGAAAATTCCTGAGAGTACAGAAAGGTTTTCTAAATGTGACTCTAGGTAAAAACAAATATTTGCGTGGTAAAAAATTATTAATAATTCATGAAAAATTTATGCACATAAGATTACTATATCTTTTACTTAAAAAGTGTTAGTGTACATTACACTGCAAAGTTATGTCAACATATAAAGTTTCATTAAAAAAGTACATGCTGGAGGAGAGAAAGTGGCTTGCTGGAAGGGAAGCAGTTTTGTTTTCCATCAGAGTGGGCTCCAACTTTACCTTCTTCAGTTTCTTGTGGGCTCTGCTGTGGTTTCCCTGTGCCAGGTCTGCCCTGCCAAGGAGCCGGTAGGTCTCAGCCACCTCAGGACTGAAATCACCAAATGTTCCGAATTTGGCTTCCAGGGACTCTTTCAGTATGGAGAGCGCCCTCTGTGAAAGGGACAAAACATTGTCTGGTTAAAAGTTTAACAGTTAATAAAGATATGTGACTCTTAAGAAAATTATGCAACTGATGTTTATTTTTAGAGGAATGAGTGCTGGTAGGGAGCCCTGGTGGTGTAGTGGTTAAGCACATGGCTTCTAACCAAAAGGTCAGCAGTTGAAACCCACCAGCCATTCTGCAGAAGAAAGATGTGACAGTCTGCTTCCCTAAAGATTTACAGCCTTGGAAACCCTAGGGGGTTCCTATAGGGTTGCTATGTGTCAGAATCTATTAGATGGCAATGAGGTTGTTTTTCTTTCTTTTTTAGTTCCATGAATTGGGAGCCCCTGAGTGGTACAAACTGTTTCTAATTGAAAGGTGGGTGGTTTGAATCTACTCAGACACCTGGGAAGAAAGGACTGGTGATCTACTTCCAAATAATCAGCCACTGAAAACTCTACTGAGCACAGTTCTACTCTGACACATATAGGGTTGCCATGAGTCAGAATTGACTCCATAGCAACTGGGTGTTTTTGTTTGTTTATTTGTTTATCATGAGCTTAGCCTACTCTCCTCTGGTTAAATAGGAGACAGGAAATAACATATATGGGATGAAAAGTATATAAACAATGAAGAGGAATGAATAAAGCACACCTGGAGGATAATCCCATTTCAGATATTACAGGAATCCACTTTAGCTAAGTAATAAAATCAAAACATTTATGCATGTGAATTCATTTAATCTCCACCTGACAGAGAAGAATACTGAGACACTGAGCAGTCAAGAATTGCTCAAAACAGACTTGTACACCAGTGTCCATTGCAGCATTATTCACAACAGCCAAAAGGTGGAAATGGCCAAAATGTCTACAAAGGGATAAATAAAATGTGGTACAAACATGCAATGGAATATTACTCAGCCATAAAGAGAAATGACATACTGATACTTGCTACAACATGGATGAACCTTGAAAACATGCAGATTGAAGTAAGTCAGACACAAAAGGGACAAATATCGTATGGTTCCACTTATATGAAATATCTAGAATAGGCAAATGTATAGAAAACAAAGTACGTTAGTGGATACCATGGGTGGGAGGGAGGAGGGGAAAAGGTGAACTCACTGCTTAAGGGACACTGACTTTCTGTTAACAGTGACAGGCCAGTGTGAAAATGGATAGTGGTAATGGTTGAACAACATGATAAAAATAACTTTGTTGTTGTTGTTACGTGCCGTTGAGTCGGACCTGACTCATAGCGACCCCTCCTTGGGTTTCAGAGGCGGTATCTCTGCATAAGTAGATTGCCCAGCCTTCCTTCCAAGGAGTAGTTGGTGGGTTTGAACCACCGAACCGCCAGCCTTCTGGTTAGCAGCCAGATGCCTTAGGCACTGAGCCACCAGAGCTAGGGTCACTGAATTTTATATGTAAAGAATGTCAAAATGGCAAATGACTTGTTACACATACATTTACCACAATTTAAGAAAAAAGAAAAGAAACGTGCTCAGACAACTCATTCAATGGCAGAGTTAGGATCTAAATCTGACCAGTAAGTTTAATATTTTTCAGTTCCAGACTCTTTTTCTTCTGTGCACACAGATATTCTTATGTAAGCAAAAACTACAGAGTTTCCTGGCAATTTATCTACATAACATCCAGAACATACTCCGGGGTTTTTTATTTCTCACAGGAAATAGTTCAGGAAACCAAAAGTAAGCATTCCAACATGATATAATGTTTTATTTTCTTCATACAATTTATACCAAAATGAAATTGAAAATATGAGTAGGACAACAAGTAATATTTTCTGATACTAATCTCTTCAGTCAGATATCAAGGCAAACGGGGAAAAATCTATTAAAGTCAGTAAACCTTCCACCCTTTTCCTGTAATTCCTCCATAATCTTTTACATGCCAGCATGATTATGACTGCAGAGCACGAATGTTGAACTCATCACCAAATAATGCATGGGCCAGTGATGAGGCTTCCCTGCCATACAGCCCTAAGGGACTCCTAAAAGCATTCCACATGCAGAGGAGCTAGGAAGGCCTTTGCTCTTTATTGGCAATAATATGAGTTAGTTGCTATGGGTATGTTGGAGAAATCACCTCAAAGGTGCTGATGAGGCAGAAATCAATTTCTTAGGTGAGAAGTCACTGTTGGTGCAGACAGACTATATAAATTGTCAAGTGTGACACACCTAGGTACATGAGGGAGGGACAAGGATTTATACCCACACTGGCCTAATGCTAAAGCCCCTCATACCCAGGGCACTATATCCCCTCTCCCAGTGTCTGTGAGCAAGGTCTCAGTTAGTATAAATATTGGGTTTGGCAGAGTGTCAGTGGGAATTAATCATCAAGCTTTGAGTAGACATGATGGGAAGAAGAACCAGAGATTCCTTTTTCCTAAATCAAACCTTCATGCAGAATAAAGCCTGAGTTCTCAGAAGGAAGATTGGGCAATCCACTTCCATAGAGATACCACCTTGGAAACCCAAGGAGAGGTTGCTATGAGTTGAATTGACTTGATGGCAGTTCAGTTTGGTTTTTTGGGAAAACTAGAGAAAAAAGTGCATGCAGTTAAAGTGCAAGTCAAGGTGACAATGGGAGAGATGCTACATGAGCTTAGAGGAAGCAGAGACTTGGTTAGCCTCTAGTAGTAAGGACAATCCTCAAAGAGAATAAAGATGGAGTACGACCAGGCAATGTTTCCTTCTGTTACACATAAGGTCACCATGAGGAGTGGTTGACTTTATGGCAACTAACAACCACAATAATGGAGAAGAGTGAAGAATAAATAGGATGTAGACAGGCTGAGAAGAAGGGATGCAGAACTGAGTGCATGGGTCTCAGTGGGGAGAAGCACATGGGTGTTTAGGGTCAAGGAGTAGACTAATTTGACAGCAGCAGAGAAAGTGTGTGTGTAGGGGGAGAAGAGAGGAATGATGTGGAGACCCAGACTGAGCCCATAGTGAAGGCCTCATGCCAGGTGGATGAGTTTTGATTTTTTTTTTTTACAATAAGAAAAGTCAGATAAAATAAGTCAAAGAAGGTTCTAGAATAGGAGAGTGTGACAACTGAAGAGAAACCCATGTGTTTCAAACCAGCAGAGTGACCTACACTTCCATTTTAACTTAAAAGACATTTTCATCCCCTAAAATCTCCTGACAGTTGGAGGAGAGCTCTAGTCCACGTGTAGGTTGCGACTACCTCTGTGATGGTTGAGGGCAGCTCATGCTTACCACTGGGACTGTCCTGTGGCCCAGCTTTGTTGGTCAATTCCTGCTAGAACTCACAGTGAGAGGTCTGGAGCCCAAAGGATGAGGGCAATACAAGGTGGTTACATGTGGCTAGGCAGGCTGTGCCATGTACATGATGCCTGTCAAGAAGATGGGTGAGCACTGAAATCTGGTCCATGTCCTGCTCTCCAAGTAATGTGCTTGTGTGGCATGGACTATGTCCACCTAAGGAACTCAACCCAAACCCACTGCCATCGAGTTGATTCTGATCAACCGTAAAGGACAGAGTAGAACTGCCCCATAGGGTTTCCAAGGCTGTAAATCTTTACAGAAACAGACTGTTACATCTTTCTTCCATGGAGCTGAATGCCTTACCCACTGAACCACCAGAGTTCCTCCACCTAAAGAAGGGGTAGCATTTTCTAAAATTATAAGGGCATACTATGGACTGGCAGTGTTCCTAGAATGAAAAGAGCTAGTTTTCTAAGATCTCTGAGGGCAGCCTGGGAGAGTGAGAGGCAACATCGGCTCACCACACTGATTTGGGTGGCTTGGACAGGAGCAGTGAAATGTAGCACCCAAGATACCATGTCAGTTGCCTAAGCAGCAAAAATGACAACAGAAAGCCAGATCAGGAAGGGAGAAGGTGGGTGCCTATGGGAGTCAGCCAGCCTGTAGCCAATTGCCCATATAGCTGCTTCCCACTACCACTACCTCAGCCACTCCCTCCACGTGAGTCCTGTGGAACTCAGGCTGTTTGTGAGACAGGCATTAAACAAACACATACATAAATACTTAAAAACACATTATTATACAAATCCATGTTCTATGAGGAAAAATAATGAGGAGAATCTAACTAAGACTGAGGAGCAGAGTCAGGGATGGGGAGAACCTAATTAAGACTTGGGAATGAGTCAAGGAAGCAGATGAGTCCAGAAGGATGGATGAGCATTAGCCAGGGACCATGGCTTCCTTATTCAGAATGGATTAGAAAAGAACAAGAGTGGAAAAAGAAGTTGGGAGGTTGAATCTTAATTGGAGGTGAGAGATGATGGTAGCTTGGACTAGGCAGTGGGATTGGAGATAGAAACAAATGGGTGGATTAAAGACATCTTTTCAAGGTAAAAATGGTATCCATTTGGATGGAGTGAGGCATGACAGGGCAGGCAGGAGGTGTTACGGATGTATGCACCAGACTTGTGACTGGAGCACTCCCACAGGACTTCTAGAGATGGGTGTATGTGTTGGGAAGGGGGTAGACTGGATCCTCCTGGGAAGGACCTTTCTACTTGGTTGAGTGGTCTGGAAAAATACCAATTATCATGGTTACTTAAGCCCACTCTAGTCTGAGGAACATGGATGTATCTAGACTAAAAGCTTGTGTTCCTTAAACACACATTTGAGACAGGCTGGGAGATTAAGGACTAGGAGCTGACTTTACTAGAGGAAGTCTATAAAACATGAAGGAAATAAAATCTCAAAGATTTGCCTTGATACGTTAGAGTTCAAAGAAATATATGTAAATCAAGTCACAGCATGTAGCTATCTGGTATATTAAACATGTCAGTCTTGAAAGTTAGGTTTTGCATGTAATAAATTCCCAAGGGCTTAATTAACAGTGAATATGAACTCTGGGTTGGAGTCCATTTTGATTCATGTCTATATGGTTCAATGGTAAGAAATGAACTATAACTTCTGTTCTACATAGTTCTCAAGAGATAGGCAAATTCCATCCATTACTAAAATAAGGAATCAGAAGCAATAGATTGTCAAACCCTGTCCCAGCCAGAACTACAGGCTGGTGGTAAGCAAGGCCTCTTACTAGGTCCTCAAGGTCTCTAGATGGATATGACAACTATGTCTCATAAACTATTTTCCAGTTTCCCAAGAGCAAGTAGCCTGAAAGCAGCCACTTGACTTTATCCACTTGGATCCCTTGGAAGCATAGAACATGCCTTACACATAAAGCCAGTTGTAGTTGTTGTCAAGTTGATTCTGACTCATGGCAACTCCATGGGTGTCAGAGTAAACTGTACTCCATAAAATTTTCAATGGCTGAACTTTCAGAAGTAGATCACTGGCTTTTCTTCCAACTATATCATGGTGGACTCGAACCACCAGCCTTTCAGTTAGCAGCCACGTATGTTAACTGCTTGCACTATCCAGGAACTCCACCTTGCACACAATGGGTACTTAATGGATGTCTGAAGAGTGAAGGAGTCACCCACATTAATAACTAGTCAATTTTGATCCAAACTCACCTCTTCTTGTCCAATGATTTTCAGAAAACGGCAAAATTCATCTTGAATTAAAAGAAATTTGGCTCTTCCCATCCCTCCAGCATCTTTCAGGTGAGCCATGCTCTCTTGGAAATACTGCTCAGCCATATCTGAAGAAACGCATCATAACAACTTTGAAAACTGCTTGCAGATTAGAGATAGTAGTTGAATAAATATACTTTTAGTGGTCATGAACTATTTGAAAATAATAAGCATTTGGCAAATGAAACAAGTTAAGGAGACTGTCTTTTTGCTTATTAATGTGTCCATCTCATTAGAAAAGATCTAGGTCTTAGAAGCATACAGCAGTTTGCTTTCTTTGGTTTTCACTCATCTTAGCTTTCCCAGGAATAGGTAAGGAAAGTTAATGCAAAAAGGGGAACAATTCCCAAACCCAAAACCCACGGCAATGGAGTCAATTCCAGCTCATAGTGACCCCATTGGTTTCCAAGCCTGTAAATCTTTATGGAAATGGGTTGCTTTGTCTTCCTCCCATGGAGTAGCTGGTGGGTTTGAACTGCTGACCTTCTGGTTAGCGGCCAAATGCCTTACCAACTGTGCCACCAGAGCTCCTAGATCTGGGCATATCAGTAAATTTTCAAGCTGATTAACCAGTAATTCATCCTCACTCTGGTAGCTCCTCACTGAGGTTAGAACTCCAAGGGCTCACTTACTTTAATGGACTCTGCCATCTTGGGACATGAAAATTCTAGAAAATATGGTTGGCACATGCTGAGGGAAGAAACCCCAATAATTACAAATATACAAACATACTGGTTATAATATAACAAAAATATGTATTTAATCACAGCCAATCTTAAAAGCAAGAAAAGGAAAATCAGGGACTTCCAGTAAGATGGAGGAACAGGCAGACAAGTGACACAGATCCTCTTCAACAAAGAGAAGAAAAACCAATTTACAGAGATACAGAAGATAATCCTGGAACCCTGAGCTTTAAAAGGAACTATACAGAAGTGGATTAGGCACAACTAGTGGAAAAACCTGAAAGAAAACAATGAGTACAGAGACGGTCGGAGCTGCAGATTGTCAGCTACTCTGACGAAACCAATAGCCTGAATATTTCCAAGTGGTGTTGGGACCTGAGAATTGACCTAAAGATCAGTCCCAGTCACCCAGGACTGCAGGGACAACTGCTCTGGTGGCCCATGACTAGGAAGGGAAACAGCAAGGAAGGAGACAACCTGAGCTGTGGACTCTCTGCTGTCCAGAGGGTGCAGCCATTTTGATTGTTTACACATGGCAGCCACTTTGGATATTTAAAGTGACTGAGGGGGCAGCCATTTGAATGTTTACAAGTGGCAGCCATTTTGGATATTTAAAGTGACCGAGGATGCAGCCATTTTGAATGTTTACAAGTGGCAACCATTTTGGATTTTAAAGTGATAGCATTATCATTTGGATTCCAGGGACCTAAGAACAGGCTCTGTTTGCCAGGGGCAGCAAGGACATACAAGAGGCTGACAACACGAAAGGAGACAGGTGGTGAGTGTACAAGTGCTGTCAACTAGGGAATAGAGGAGCACAGCACAGTACCCTCCATATAGATAACATACAAACAAAACAAAGAAAATGAAAATTGTGGGCAAGTCACTCCAACATATAATTACCAATTAAATATAAACACAAAAACATCACAATGCCTTGGAGACAACAGACCATCACAATCCACACAAAGAAGCAAGATAAAGCAGGAGAAACAAGGGACCAGGATACAACCCAAAACACATCCCTCAGGAAGATGCAGCATTGGAACTCCCTAATAAGGACTTCAAAAGAATTATATTTAGGTATCTTCAAAGGATTGAGAGACAGACCAAGGCAAACACAGACAAAACCCTAGAAGAATTTTGGAAGAAAATACAAGAACAAAATGACAAAATAAATGAAAAATTAGAAATGATTCTAAATCTGCAGATAGAAACCCAGAAGATTAATACTAAATTGTCAGAAATAGATAA